ACTGGCGCTGAGACCTCGCGGGCTGGCACGGACAGGCGCGGCTGGGCGCTGTCACGTGCACTGGGGACTGCGGTGCCTCGCGAGCGCTAGGCGCGGGCACGGACAGGGGCACTGCCTGGCCCCTGCGACGCGGCACGGGCATGGCACGCGCGACTGGCGCGGCTGGTGACCCTAGCCGGTCCTTTGCCAAACTTCCGGCAACTTTGCCGGGGACTACTGAACAAAATCAACCTAATATGACATAAAATGCTCAAAAATGCCAAAAGTCACTGAGGGATCTCGGTTGGATTTGGTGGTGGGCTTATAAGGCCGATTAGGCACGAGGCCACCCTAGGGGACAAAAATGAACATGCTCAACATGAAAATTGACCTAGGGCCGAATGATATACATCAAAAATCATGGCTAATGAGGCTAGAACATTGGTCAATACATGCATGCACATATACTTAGGTTCGGGGGTGAAAATGGCTCGATTTCACTTAACAAATTAATCGAACAAATGAACTCAAAGCATGAAACTGTTTTAACCATGTCATACTCATGATTTTTGAGGATTTTTAAGATACTAATCTCGGCCATATCATGCATGTACCATAACTTACGAAATTATGGCTTAAATCTTCAAAAATCCAAATCTCCATATTCTTCTCGTGCATGACATCATTTTTGTACATGATAAATCTTATTTTATCATAAATAAGCTAGGAAAAATGAAAGTCACGAGTTAACCTTGCTCGAGCTCGCAAATGGTGCTAATGGCCTTTGCTCGGGCCCGCAAATGGCCTAGGAGACTAGCCTCGACTTAGGGGCTTGAATGGCTGAGGAGGATAGCTTCAAGAGACTTAGAAAAATCCAAACTAAGCTTGGATAATGATAAGCCTCGAGATAACTAGGCTGGAAGAAGCTGGACACGAGCACTCCTCTTCCCCAGGGCACACGCGCGCGCGGTTAGGCTTGCCTTGGCTTGCTCTCGGTTTTTCTCTTGTTTTCCCTCAATGTGCTAAGTGTTATGCTCGAAAATTATGAGTATCCAAGAGCTCTAACACTCAGCTGAAGGTGGCCTTATAAGGGAAATGCATGGGCGGAGAAAACAATGCTCAAAGTGGAGACATACACACATCACAAGTGCATGGGGACATGGTTTGGGGCTGTTTGCACGAACTTGGAGGGTTTGCAGGGGCATCTTGACTGACCAAGGCATTAAAATATGATGGAGAGCAGGTCTGGTCGGTCCCCAGGTGGAGGAGGAGGTAGTGGGGGACAATGCCTTACACACTTGAATAAAATATTCCACAAGCACATGCTCCACTTTGGCTTAATCATAGGCTGACTTCCTTAACACTTTCTTAGGGACATCTTAGCCCTAAATGACCCTCATTAAGTCCTTAATACATGCAACATTGGGTCATGGAAGGAAGTGGGCCGGAATTTGAAGAATTGGGCTCCAAATGATGGGCTGTCGCTGCTGGCGCTGGGCTGGGCGCGCTGGGCGCGAGCTGGGCTGCACACGGCCCTGGGCTGGGCGCTGGGCTGCGCGAACGGGCCTGTGCACGCGGACTGGGCGCGGGACAAACCTTGGACCGAGAAAAATGACTTTCTAAGGCATAAATGACATGGCCCATGATCCTATCTTGATGCATAATACTTAGAAAAATTCCAAAGGTGTTTGGCCATGACTTGGGCCACCATACTTGACTCGCGCGAGGCTAGGGTGCGGGTACTAGGGCGCGACTCATGGCCCGACTTGGAATGCACTTGAACCGAGGCTAACCCTTGGCTAGGGCTGAAAAATGGCCACACTTAGGTGCCACCAAACCTAGGAAAATCCCCTCAATACTTGGTCATGACTTGGTGCGAACTCGGCACGGCTTTGGCCCGAACTTGCGAACCCTAGGCGCGAGTGATCTCGGGGCCACGCACGAACTAGGTGCGGTATACTAGACCGAGGGAATAACATCCAAGGCTTGACAAATATGATCTCATACTTAGAAATATTCTAAGTAAGGCTATGAGCATGGCTAGGGCTCGAACAAGACTCAAGACAACTAGGGCTCGAGAATTGGCTAGGCGCGAACTAGGCGCGATACTTGCGACCGAACAACTCGGTTCCGGACATGGCTAAACTTGGACGATTTATCGAAACAAACTCGGTTTCGATTATTCGTCAACTGAAATAACTAATTCCGACTGAATAAAATCCATTACTAAAATAAATGGACCGGAATTAATAACTGAGATTGAATAGCTGATAACTGGGCTCGGAACTCAAGACGAGCAGTATTAATAAAAAGAAATAGTTCAACTGGGAACTAAAAACTGTCATTTTTATTAATACAGAGCTGGGCTATTACAGTAGCCAGATAGACTGTTAAATGAGATTTATATGTAACATAGTAACATCTTCAAAGTCATTCAAGATAGTATTACAATATAAAAAGCTAACACTCATTAAATGTTACATACGATCTGAACATCACATTTTTAAGATTAGGTAATACTTTATTAGAGTTACATAAAATTGTTCATTTTGTAGTGACTAAGCCAACTTCAAGATAAAATCAACTCGAGATTGATTTATATAATCTTTACATAGTTTTTTACGCCGTCCTCCTCAGCGACTAACTTGTTGAGGCGACTTAGTAGTAAGTTAAAGTCGTCTTCACTTTTGAGAAGGCTAAGGCGAACATAACGATTTTCTACGTTGAACAAGCTTCCTTCCCGACCTATGATGTTCGCTTCCCGGAGGATTGATTTGCAGTTTTTGTCTTCTTCTCTTTCGCATTTCAACCAAGCATAAGCTGCGTGCCATGAGCAATTATCATACACAACAGAGTCGGATTAGTGTAAGAGTAAGCTCCTTCTTCACATTATCACAGCATATAAATAAGATTTTGGTATTAAAATGGAGAAATTAATGACATAATTAAGATCATCACCTGGAGATGGTCCCCGGACTTTACGAAAAAAGTTGCAGAAGCGTGGTGGGATTTCTTGGAGGGAAAAACGTTTTGAAAACGATATAATCCGGCTAAGTTTTTCCCACCGACCACTCATTTTGTGGTACGCGTAATTGAAAATCTCAGTCCCGTTCCCTTGTAGAATTGTTTTCATGAGCTTTAGAGCCCTCAGTTGAGCCTCCCTTGAGATCCCCAATTCAGCTGCTTGTATGTATGCTTTCATATTTTGGTACACGTTTTCATCTTTTATAAACGCCCATCTACATGCACCCACAAAATTAGAATTTTCAGCAAGACACGAACATTAATAATATTGTTATGAATGGAAGAAGAATTAATTAAGATACCCAAATCTGGTTCCAGCATGACCAGTGAGTTTAGAAATAGTGAAGATCATAATATCTTCATCTGCAGGGGCTGGAACTGCTGTAAAATGTGGCCAGTAATAAGCGTGGTCGTAAATAGCTCTAGCTGATGCTCCTTGCAACACAGCCTCCCTCAAATTCCCATCCGGATTATTAGGTGACGTCACAAACTCTATACTATTATTTGCCTTTGCATTATGATCCTTATTCCACAAATTCGCGTCTCCTTTGTACTCAAACTCTGCATTTTGGAAGAAATCCGTCTGCGTCTTGTAAAGCTGCACATCACAAAACGTCTAACATCACAATCCAATATGAATAAAGCCAGATGGTTAGGTATGTATTTGGATGATATATGTTTCTATTTCACATGCAACGCTCTAAAAATTGAATTACATACCA